AGAATGCAACGGAAAATAAAAGTATTAAAACGTATATTCGGCGTATGTTATTTAAATGTTATAGACAATAACACGACATTTTTCAAGAATTAATTTTTGACAGAATAATTCTAGGACAGACAACAAGAATGAACAGATAAAAGAGAAGAATGTTTGAGCAAGAAACGTTTACTGATACGGAGGCGAAATTAAACTAATATAAATGATTGGAAACCTCAAAACTGGTTTCCAATCAAGATCAAGACTATTATTAAAAAGGAAAAACGACACTGACAGCCTTGGGACAGTATTTCAACAGTCTCCTGAATACAAATAAGTAAATAAATTAAAAAATTATGTCAACTCTATCAAAACCCGGATATTGTAAGTGAGATAAAATCCTGAAGTGCATGGTGGGCTGGTTTTATACGGAGACAGTCAGATGAACGTTTAGTAACTCGTATGGCAAAACAACCCACAAACAAGAAGGACCACAGCTAAGATGGCGTGACAACATCAAAAGCGACCTCGAAGCCATGGGGTATGAAATGGATACCCAACTCATAACAAATCGAGAATAATGGAGACAAATAGCATGGTCAGTTAAAAATCACCCTTTACCTGACAAAATTAAAAATTGAAAATATGGAACAATTTTATTGGAAAAAATGTTTTTTGTTTTCAGTTTGCTACCAATGTGATAATTAAATATGATAATGATAAAAACATCGGACAAACTGAATTTTTTTTCACTTTTTCCCAAGCAAACTTTTGGTTTGGTACACAGATTACCAAATGGAGTAAACTAAATACTCTAATAAAGTATTTTTCTCTAAATTTAATTTTATTTGTTTCATTTTCACTTTTTCTTATTGTTAGCAGGTGTTTTAAATTAACAAGGGATCCTCAAATCGTTTATGGAATAATAATTATGTACCGAGCAAGAATGCAGAGTGTCACCTTAAAACTTCAGCTTTCTTATCCACTGTCATAATTTTGGACAGTACATTTTAGCCATAGTCTTTTCAATTTTGTCAATCCCGACGACCACGTCACACGACACAATACTCGCTCGGCTGCGCTCCGCTAGTGAATAAACAAACTCGTGACTAAAGTGACGCTTATCAAACTTGGTGCATAATATAGTTATTTATTTCCTGTACCCTTTTTGGAATTGCTTTTGGATATTTACTATAAAGGCTCGAAATTAATACAAAACCTTTTAAGTCTTAGATAATTTAATATAGCTATTTAGGAATATTGCCTGTTTTTTTAAAATATTTTACATATTCTGCATTCTGCAATCGAACCGCAAGCTAACAAAAATTATTGGCAAAAGATGTAAAACTTTTTTTCAAATACGACATGATGCTGTACATTATTACATAGTCGAAAAATTGAAAATTTTAATTCTACATCGATTGCCTATGCTTTTCCCTATACCTATTTTAACTGGTTGTCTTGTTTCTTCTTACGTTTTGGTTGGTTCAATCAAACCCAAACTTTCTTCCAGTACACATTAATTTTAAAAAAGTTTGACATGTTTTGGTTTTATTTGCGTTAAATGGGTCAGCAGACTCCAAAAGCAAGAAACTTTTTATTTTAATTTATTTATTAGTGTGACGTAGGAATGGCATTTTTTTAAGAGCTGTCAGGAAATTACAATTCAAACAAGTCACTTTGCTATTTAGTTTATCCTGCGGCTTCAGTTTTTGTGTAATTTCTATTTATCGCAACCAGTAGTTAATATTCAATTCTGAACGGTAAGTATCGAAATTTATTATTGATCAGTATCCCATATACAATACACCATACCGGATGGCACACAGTGAATGGTCTATTACAAGTATCAGGCGAAAGGATAAACAGATTTACTTTAAATTATACAGGGTTGTGTAAAAGGTTATGGTGCTCTATCAGTAAAATATTTTCAAATACACAATGTTGCCGCTCCTATATAAACATGGCAACATCTTATTAAGTTTAAATGCCACTTCCTCTATATCATTTAAATTTTAGATTCGACATAAGAAACAAAGTAAATTTTGTTAAAATTTTCCTATACCTATGTCAAACCGTTATCAAAATAAAAAATAATTACCTACATATTCTAGCAGTATGGACCCCGAATAATTCTAAATTTGATTAATTTGTTTTAACAGAAAGCCGAACTTTCCAGACAGTTCCTGTAAAGCGTCAGGCATTCTTTGCTGACATACCAAAACTAAGATTTCTAAAAACATGGTTTATCCAGTTTGTTTTAAATAGCAGACCCTGTTTATTCTTTAATTTTCGAATTCTAACAAAGAGACTAACACAATTTTTTTAAAATAAAAAATAATTTTTACATAATATAATAATAACATAGAAATAATAGAAAGTTTCGCACAAGGGACAGAATAAACTTCGTAAAACATTTAATTTCAGTATTTTCCCAACTATTTCACCGTTTTTCGGCAATTATAATAATGTAATAAAATCTAATAATATATAACCCTTTAAATTGTTATTCTGTTTACCTGAAACTTGAAGTGCCTTGATTGATTGATTGATTATTGACTTTAGAAATAGGGCAAGATAGTTGGAAAACTAAAATTAAATGAAAATGAGGTTTTTATGAAGTTCAATTTATCTATATGCGAAACTTTCTTCGATGTTGATATTACATACAAATCATGAAAATTATTATTTCAAAGACGGCAATAGATAGCTATAGGAAAACTTGAATAAAATTGAGTTTCCTAGATTTGGAAAAAAATTTACAATTTCAATACAAAATCTTATTTTCGAAACACTGCATTACCGAAAAGAAAGATGTAGAAAAACCTGAACAAAATTTTGGTTTGTTTGTTGACAAGAATCTCAAAATGATATGATATGCAGCGGGTGTCATTTAACTTAAGCCAGTTGTTGCGACGTTTCTATTGAAGTGACAATTTGCATATTTGAAAATATTTTAGAGCGTTAGAGTACCTTCTCTTACATCATCCTGTGTAACTTAAAGTTAATCCGTTGATCCGTTACATACTTCTAATAAGCTATCGACTGTGCGTCACCTGGCGAGAGAAACATGCAATTTTTCTAAAATGCTAACCAAACATACAACATACTTTTATGGGTTATACTTTAAATTTCAAATAACTAAAAATAACATTTGAAAATAATGTTTTTCAGACGATCCCGACATTACCTGTTTTTGTGCGGTTATTATTATATATTATAAGACTGTTTTTCTATTTAAATATCTAATAAAACATTCACTTCATACAGTGAACCGCTAGAAAAAATTCATTTAAAAATCAGGTATTGGATTTGATATAATTTATTCTTACACATTTCTTGTAGTAAATAGAAAATATACAGGGTAAAGAATTTACTAAATCAATTTTCTAATTCTGTATCAAATTTGACGCATAATTCATGTGGCATATCCTATACCTGTCTCTAACTTTTTAGAAGCAAAAGAATAAAAAAAAGAAATTTTATTTTGAAATGAACAGGAGAGTAGCTAATACATTTCTGTCAGTAAAGTGAACATCTAAGGAATCGAAATTTTAATTTCTATTGTACAACTCTAGAAGAAGTTTGTTATGTGTTTAACGCAAAATATCCAGAAAGACTTTTTACAAGATGTGCTATGAGTAAAATTGAGACAAAACTTATGTCGTCCAAAAAGTAATGAGAACACAAGTTTAAATATATTATCAAAAAGTGAGGATAATTTTCTCAGTGAATCTTCTGAAATAGCTTCAAATAATGATGATTAGGATGATGATAGCCGACAAATAGGTGTACGTGTGTTAAAAGAAGGAAAGGTATCATCCTTACAAGATTACATTACTACAGAAGCTGAAAGATTGTGATCCCAACCACAGACTACAGTTTTGTGAAACTATGAGAGAAATGTACAACTTAAATCCATTTTTTCACTGCTAAATGCTGTTTAGTGATGAAGCCACGTATTGTATAAATGATTCGGCAAGTAAACAAAATGAAAGAATTAGAGTACAAATAATCCCCAATGGATGAGAAAAAATCATACACAACATCCATACTGGGGTCCGATATTTACGATTCCTTTAAACGACTTGATCCCTATTCTGCCAATTTCTTTCCCAAATCCAAACGAATCAGCCTGATATGCCAGATAGACAGATTTGATTTCAACAGGATGGTGCTCTGCCCCATTTTGCATGATAAGTACGTGAATATTTAAAAACAGATATTACTCCACTGAATTATTTTCTCTGGGAATATTTCAAATCAAAAGTGTATAAGAAAAAAACCATATTTAAATAAAAAGATAATTTAAAAATTAGAACTACATTCGAAATAAGGCAAATAAACGAAAATATCTTGAGTGATGTTTTGGAAGGATTTTTAAACCAATTAGCATATTGTCAAGAAGTTAATCGTGGACATTTTCAACACCTAATAAAATAATTTCTTTTACATGCCCTGTTTCAATAAGTTTTCTCTCAATTTTACTCACTTTGGATCTTGTAATGTAATATCCAATATTTGATTAAATAATTATTTGCGAGACTATTTGATATGTTTCATTTCCATTGTTTAAAGTGTTCACTCAATTAATTAAAATATTTCCAGGATATCATCGTCACTTCATCTGTTCAATTCAACAAAATCACTTGGCATTTTAAGGTTATGAAATGTAAGGCATAAGTTATGAAAAAGATTTTTTTATGCACAGGAAATTAAGAATTATCATCGAAATTCCTAATTAAATCTTTTAAACATGCCCTTTTCAATGAAAAAAAATAAAACTTGAAAAACCTGAAGAAAAAAAAAGAAACAAAATTTTGAAAAAAAACATTTCAAAAATATTGTGTTAGTTTGTTTTGAAAATTTTATGGAATTTATGGCAATACTCTTTCCGACTTTTTGAAAAAAAGTTTTAACTGGATTTTTTATATATTAGTTTTACTTAATAATTTTTTAGTTACGATGAAATACAAACATTTTTCACATAACCAAAAAGTCAGTGAAACCTGGAAAATCATTAAGAAATCTGTGAAATCCGTGATATCTTTCATATCATATGTTAGCTTGAAATATGCTGTACCAATTTTGGCTGGTGATTTGCCCCTTGCCGCTTTCTTTACTAACAGAAATCTAGTTGTAACTTTACTGGTAGTACCTACTTACCTGTTCATTTCAGAATTAAATGTTTTTATTCTTTTGATCATAAAAAATATGAGCTAGATGTAGGGTATGCTACATGAATTGAATTCCATTAAGAAAAAGGAACTTGGTATTACATCTTCTGCTTTTTGACTCATCTTGCATATTCTCTACTCACTGCAAAAAATGCGAAAGACAAAATCATGATGGATGTGTGTAACAATTTTCTTGAAATCCAATTTTTAAATGAATTTCCATATTGGTTTTTAGTTGATTATTTCAAAAGTGTAAAAAAAAAACAAAATAAAATATGCCACTTACTAATAAGATCACATAGCTCGGTAAGGACCCTGCATTTTTAGATACTGAATGACCAGTGACGGCCCACCAGCAACAATTTCTGATGGTATCTGCGACAAAGGACAGTTCTCTATGCTCATGATCTGGAGGTTGGAACACAGAGCAAGTTCAAAGGGTAAGTTGTGAAGTGTAGGATTATCATTGACATACAATGATTCCAGATTTTCTAAAGTTCCTATTTCTTCAGGCAAATACGCCAGATTATTCTCTCCAACACTGAGAAATTCCAAGCTGGTCAGATGCCCGATGGCGCGGGGTAGCGCCGTCAACTGATTGGACTGCACAATAAGCTTCTGCAGCTGACGCAGATGTCCTATCTCATTGGGCAGTTGTTCTAACCGGTTTTCTTCCAAGTCAAGTACCCTGAGTTTTCTCAAGTTTCCAATACTCGGAGGAATCCTTCGGAGTAGATTGTTGGACAGCACCAAAACTTTGAGGCGTTGCAAACATTGTATGTCTTCTGGTAATTTCACAAGTTGATTCGTTCCCAAATTCAGCTCGACCATGTTTACCCAAGTGCCCACATCTAAAGGCAAAGATGTAAGCTGATTCTCTTTCATATTAAGTTTTGTTAAGTGCTTAGCTCTAGAAAAAATTCCATAAGGAATTTTATCGATTTGGTTGTGCTCCAAATTGACGGAATCTACGTTGGTGAATTGAGACGGTCCGCCAGAGGGAAAAGCTGAAAAATTGTTCCTCGACAGGGTAATACTGGTTAGTTCGCTGAGGCTTGAAAGCAGACCCTCGGGTAATTGGGACACAGCGTTACCTTCTAAGTTGAACTCATCCATGGCGCGACACTTACTAAGGCTGGCTGGTATATGGGACAACCGATTGTATCTTAAACTCAACCTAAAAACCTGGTTTGTTAGCCTGTGATTTCGATGACGCAATGACAATTTAAATACAAGGGTTGAATTCAAATTCTTTTTTTTTTGATTCGCAGAAGATAGGTCGCTCACTGCGGGATTCCTTTATACATTTATACAAGCATGCGATGGAAAGAGTTGCCATTATACAGGGAATCTCATTTCACAACATGTAATTTCCTTATTTTAAATGGAACACCTGGTGAATTTCATGGTAAGTTGCCTAAAATTTTTTTAGTTCACTACTTAGCAGATAAACTTTTCAAAATTTGGTAATCTATTGCAACAGGTAAACTGTATTCTACAAATATTTTGGTAGATTCAGCGTTGGAGGATCTACCCGAAAATAATGGAAAATTTTTAATTTTAAATAAACTTTATAGCATGTTGGCGTTTATATTTCGGCTATACAGGGTAGCTCACTATTGCGAGATCCTCTGACATCTCCATTGGAGTTTATTTTATCTAAATATTGTAAATGCAAAAGTTGTTGGTAATGCTAATTGCTATAATAAAAACCAAAGTTACTACTTAACACTACTACCACTTAACACTGATTTTGACAAAGTTTGACATGTTTTTAGTGTTATTTCCGTCAAAAGAGATACGAGACTCCATACCTCACCTCATGTACACCTGATTTGAGTTCTTTGGATTTTTGCCAGTGGAGCGTAAATTTTGAATGAGATATTATTTCCAATACCATTTTTTACTGTTGATGTAGAGATACAAGAATGGCAGTTGATTTATCCCAAGAGGGTGTCAAAAATCTGATATGAGTATGTTACTTTAAAAGTTTTTTTCTCTTATAAATAAGATAGTATAATTATTTATGCAGAATAATACTGAATTGATTTCTATATATAAAATGACCATGGTATGAAGAATCTAATTTTATTAGCAACAGAAATCAAACCAGGAAAATTGAATTTAGAATGTAACAATCAATTAAAGACACATAAAATTTGAAACACAACTTTTGATGTTCATCTGGACTTAGACTTAGAGTATTAAGAAAGCATCAACACAATTCAATAATTCATCTCTACTTTGCTCAGGCCTAGAAAGAGCAGATTTCACTGTTCACAGTTTTCTTTATCCAATCAGAGAATAGAATATTCAAGAGCTAAAAATCGGGTGATCATGGCGGAAACTTCCAGGGTTCCTTAACTTCTTTGGAGTAAATAAAACCATCAACATTTCAAATTTGGTTAAGAAAGAACTTTTTATAGAAAATATGAAATAGCGCGAAAATCGTTCAAATTAATCCTCATAAATCAATTTTCAATATCAATTTCAAAAGGACTTGTGCTTTCGCTACACCATACGAACAATTACCAGTAACTAAAACTAACTAAAGTTGAACTGTTAAAAATAATAAACTTTTCAGAAATACAAAAATGAAATAATATTCATGGTGTTCAATTTAAAAGAAGGAAGGTGCTGTGAGATAGTTAGAAATACCCTGTATATTTCATTCATTTAAAATTCCAAAACTGCCATCATTTTTGGGTAGATCTGGCAAAACCGGATCTACGAAAATATTTCTCAAATACAGCCGGGACCGCATAGCCAAATTTTTGGAAAGTTGACTTATGTGGTTAGAACACCCAAAGTAAATCATCCTGTATATCAAGGAACAATTGAAACCGTTGAAATGCAAAATTGTTATTTCACAATAAAATCAAAATCTACCAATATATGTCACATATTAAGAATTTTATAAGGCGGAAAACCATGCTAAATCATATCATTACTTGTTGAGTTTTGCATAGCAACATGAGCAACTAACCATAACTGTCAAATGTACTTTCTAACCAACTAAATTATATTTATTGCTTTTTCTGTTTCATATGAATAGCAGCTTTACAATAATTATTACTTATTTATAAATATTATTATTTTTATTGTAACAATGAAACAAGTTAATGAATGCATGAAAATAAAATTCTTGGTGAATTATAGACAGCTTGATATCTGCAATATAAATTTAATTTTAATTTTCATTAGCAATTCACAAATAAATAATATACTGCTCGAGGTTCTACATATTTAAATTAAAGAAAAATACTTGCTATGTTTTTTGCCATAATTTAACAGAGTGAAATATTTTAAGTCCGAATCTACACCTTTTCCAAATTCCTTGACGGGCACCAGGAACTTTCTCTCATTGCAATGATCATGTATTTCTTCACCCTAAATTATAGATTATTTAAATGCCTTGCCCACTTAGAACTGCAGTTGGTCAAATTTCCACTTGCATAAGCAACTATTAGTCAGTAGGATCCAAATTATGTGAAATATTTGAGTTATTTGAGGACAACTGCTTTAGCTTTAAAGTCAATGTAACCCAGGCTAAAGCCCAGTCCCATTTTAAATATAACAACTCTAAAAACTTTAAAAGTGACCACACCTTAATTAATTTAAATCCAACCACTCATAACTTCCTATTAACATTTGTAACTCTAAAAACCCAAATACTAACCTGGAAAGATACTGCAAGTTACCAATAGTTTCTGGTATGTCCAGAAGTTCGTTGTGTTGCAAATCTAGGGTGCACAGATGAACACAATTTCCAATTTCTTCGGGCAGATGTTCCAGGTGATTATGAGACACATCAAAAGTTACTAAATTTACTAGACTTCCTATACCAGCAGGCAACTCCTTAATTTTATTTTCTCTCAAACTGAGCATTATCAGAGAGGTAAGTCGACTTATCTCATCTCCTACATATCTTATTCTATTAAATCTCAGGAATAAAGTTGTTAATGAAGTTAACTTATAAACCACTTCTGGTATATCATTCAGTTTGTTGTGCCTTAAATCCAAGACTTTTAAATTCCTTAAATTTTCTAGAGAATCTGGCAGGCATGTCAAAGAATTTTCACTTAATGCCAAAGTCACAAGACTAGTCAAACATCCAATTTCGGCAGGTAAGGAAACTAATTTATTTCCATATAAATAAAGCTCAGCTAAATGACCCAAATCTCTTATTGTTTGAGGTAATTGTGTTATATTCGATTTACTTAAATCTAATCGTTTTACATTTTCTTCCCTGCACCGCATAAATTCTTTTGAGACATCAAGATCTGCTTGAATCGGTTGCTTGTTCTTTTTGGCAGTGGGTTTGAGTTTGTTCGATTCTGGGTGCTTCACTGTAACAACTTTCGGCCTAGCAACGTCTGTATTTATTGATCCTGAACTAAATTTCTTTTGCTTTCCATGCTCTAAAGAATTAGATGGCTCTGCTTCCAACAAGTCTGGGTCCAGTAAATAATGACTACTCGGCTGATCCATATTAGATTTTAGGTTATTTAGCAAATTTAACAATTTTTTACAAAACACAGTTATTTTTCCAATCGTCTTTGATATTTTTCAGACATGTTTACTTTGGCACCTGATTGATTGAATTCTCACAGATTACCTATGTAGTTTGGCTAACATATGGCTGACAATAACTATTTCAATCTCGGGTGTATCAATTCATTAGCGTAATTCGCCAGCAAGTTTTCCAACGCCCAACATACACAAACATAAAAGACGCAAAAAACCATTTCTAATAATGCCTAACTGTCAACTGTCAATTTCGAGTTTTATACCGCTGACAAGGCCATGTAGTATTCTATGCCAGTTCGTTGAGCATCATATTAAAAATAGTTTGACCAGGCTACTAGACCGTTTTAGCTAATTTTCATTGGTAATTTTACAAAATACAATGCCAAACATTAGGCAATTGGAGCTAATAGGTTAGCATTGGTTCAATAATAATGAATTGCAACAAGTTATCCAAACAATATTTTTGAAATATATATATAAATTATAAAAATATTCTATTGACCTCTTCTATTTCTTTGAAAATTTATGGTATCAGTCTTAGTTAATTGTGAGTCCGTTAGATGTTTTGAACGATTTTGCGACACACGGGACTATGGCCGGATGGTGAGTTGTCTAAGCGGTATTGGACAGGCCTTTCTTGTGGTATTGATTGCTGGTATAATTTTATGGAAAACTCAGAGTTCAGTGTTCAGAAACGAACATATGTCTACCGTTACAATTTCACGTTTCAACCAATTCTGTCTTGAGCATTGCAAATGATTTAAAATACGTTCGCCCCCGGCAGAATCTTAACCATTAACAACGTAGAAAAAAAGAACGAGGCCTTTGGAACCGCGCCCTACGCGCTGCTATTTTTGAATAAACGTGTTTCTCTAAAATGATGAAATGCACTATTTTTAGATAACTTTTATTTGGAAAGCAGGAAGTTTTTATTCCACAGGAAAAAAATCTTTTCCTTTTGATTGAGAAAAATAAGGAAGAAATGGGGAAGAGAGGCATGTTTATAACCTACAATTTTTTTTTTCTGTTTTTTACTACAGAATTATTATTGTCCAGCCGATCATAGCAATCGAGGACCATATCTGCACTAGCGTGATATCAATGCCGATTTTGAGGACAGTACGGAGAAAATTGAGATTGGAGGATATGTGTTTATTCAAAGTGATCCCTGTAAGGTTTCTAACAGAAAATTTATTCAGCCGCTTAGACAAACAAAACCTCTTGTTTAACAATTTCTGGGCTTAGCCACTAATATTTGAGACATTTGGGTGACGTAATCCTTAAAAAACATTTTTTTGGTCGGTTGGCTTTCAAAACCATTATAGATATATATTATGTAGGGTGTAGAAATCTTAAAAGAATGCTAGAGTATTTTACTGAAAATGAAGCCACTTCTGAGGCAAAACTAAAAGAGAAGAGCATGATGTCCAAAATAAGGTTCCATACCCAATTAGTTCAGAAACCATCAATAGAAAATAAAAGTTATATAGAAAAGTTGTAGAGGTGTTCAGTTCATCTGAGATAAATACCAGCTTTATTATTTTAAATAAAACACACTGTCTATTATTGCATGTTTGGTTTCGCAGGAAATTCTTTTTATATTTTATTATCTATTTATTATTATTATTATCTATTTATTATCATCTTAGTAGAAAACGTACAAAATCAATTTTTTCAACTGGAACTGTTTTTATATTTTTATTCAATTTCACATTTAAAATGAAGGTGACTTGAATAATTATTTTATTTAATTAATAAGGAAATTTAAGGTTGCATCTATATAATTGTTATATGAAAACAACAAAAGGATCACTTTAACCACAAGAGAATATCATATGAAGAACTTCTGATAAAATAATTTTTGTAAAAATTGAATGTCATTTAAAGGAACTCTTTTATGGCATAAGAAGAAGAGGGATAAAGTTTGAAAGATCCTCCGACACAAGCAGGATCATAAATTATTGCATAACATGTGTAACTATGACATTTACATCACATTCCACAGGACTCCCATCTTGAGTGATACAACTTGTATAACAGTGTGGCCGTTATAGTGCTCAACATATAGGATATTTTTTTACTAACTGCACAACTAAAATGCTAATGTTGCCAGAAGTTGGTGCATATTCCATAATCATATAAGGCGCACTTAAATATTTGCAATCGGCATAAGGGCTAGGACAAAAAATACAAAAATTACACACGAGTAAAGTACCCCTAATTCCAAAAATTAGGCAAAACGTTATTAACACTTATTTCAAAAAATTGAGCAAAATGTTAATAAGAAAAGCTGTTTAGGATGAAAAATTAAGCCTTAGTATCAAAATAGGGTCTCATCATTGGAAACAGATGATGCTCTCTTTCTCTAAAGCCTTTTGTTTAAAAAAAAATGGTTTTTTTTTCAATAATTTTTAATTTTTGTTTCAATTTCATCTTATTTGTAAAATTAACTGATACTATTAATATTTAGCGAATCACAAATTTTATGTTTGTTGCAACGAATGTTTAAGTTTAAAAAACCGCGCGATTAACGCTAACGTTCTCATTCGGCAACCTCGCTGTGCATCAACGTCGCACCCGCACCCCCGCCTCCTCAGTCGCCGTTTTGCTATAATGATGTACAGAAGCTATTTCAAAAACCTCCCGAATTAAGACGCAAATTTCTTCGCGTTTGTACAAGTGTGCAAATAAAATCGTTCAAAAAGAAAAGCAGTTCATTTTTATCGAAGGACTCTACCAATTGCGTTCCCGCACGCACAACGATGTTTAATAACACTTAAAAATTTTGCAATTTTTTTTTTATAAGTAGCCACATATATATTCCGAATGTTCGAACTGATTTCGGAGCGCGAAACGGCGAACGGCAAAACGTCTGCAGGATTCCAATCGGAGTTCAACAAACGAACGGATGATATCTCGAAATATATTGTCATGACGTCCTTTCCAACACATATTGTCGTTCTCGTTCTCCAAAAAATGTATGCACTAGTCAAATTTTGACGAAAAACAAACGACCCAATTGATTTATCGTTAATAACACATTTGTTTTTTGTTAATATTGTTTTTTATTGTTAGTAACGAGATTCGGATTTTCATCGGACTACAACCTCCAAAAAGACTGTGTTATCTGATAACGCAAATAAATTTTGGTTTATAGGTGCGACATTTATTGTTTCGGAGAAAAGTCTTAACAGCGCTTTTCTTTGCTTCCGTATTATTCGAAATTTCAGGTGATTTCAACAAGTGCCTAAAGTACTTTTAGCTGATTTTCTTTAATACATACAGTTTGAAGACTTCCCTGTCTGCCTGTTTGAAATGACTTAAAATCCTACTACAGTGGAATAGGGAATTTGGTTATCTGGATGTCATACATTGAAGATATTTGCTGCTGGTACTAGTTTATAATTATCTCAACATGAAAACGAACACTGCACATGTTAACTTCAAAGTCTTATCTCTTTAATAGCATTTTGTTTGTCAATTAATAATAACTGTTTAACTGTTGTTAACTGTCGTTACAACAAGTATACAATTTTACTAAATTGTTGGAGAAAAAACGAAATATTAGATGTTTCCATTTGAAGAAATTGACTAATATATAATTTAATTTTTGAACTCCATTTTTAGTCACCCTATATTAATTTACATTCAAATATCAACTCATTACATAACTATAGGCCCTTTTCCACAAGGAAATTCCAAAATTAAATAACGAACGCTTCCTCATAGGAAAACTTGTTAATTATTTTAGGGACTGCAAACGTCATTTTTGAACTAAAATTCAAGATTTGTCGAAAACGAGTTGACTTAGGTCTAGGTCATTATGCATAAAATATAATTAGAATTTCCAAGGAAATCCAAAAATTGAATAATATACGGGGTGTTTTTTTTTAATTAGAAAGCTCATATTTAGGTATCCTATATTATTTAATTTTAAATTTTTAGTTTTTAGCAAATGAGAAATTGGAAAACCTAAAATAACGGAAAATAAAAGAAAATTATTTATTTTCTTAGGTGAAACTAGAGAATAGCAAGAAGATTTAATACAATATTTATTTTTAACAACCTTGAGACATGTTAAAGGTCGAACAATTATCTCCTAATAAATTTCATTCTAACACCATTTTTAGGCCTGAGCACCAAGTCCTGTATGTATACGATATCTTCTGGTCTGTCTACCGGTTCCAATTTGAACTTCTTTAAAAGTGCACACAATGCTGATTTGATTTCCAAAATAGCAAAACGCTGTCCTGCAAACATAAACTACGCATTAAAAACATTGTGTTTCTTAATGCGAGAGATTAATAAAATGTATCATTAAACAGGGCAGATAACTTATATCGTAGCTTATATCGTAAAATTCAGCTAAATTGCAATACTTTCTGAGAAATTCTATATCTCAGTATTTAAGGCCTATGCACCACGAAAATGGCAATGGGAGGACAGTGGAGTTAACTGGCATTCCGAGGTCAACCTTGCGTCGATTGCTTGATTATGCTTCACTAGTAAGGAAGGAACGATATGATAAAGGCATAATGAATGTGTTTAGAACTGGAAATGTGGAGCGGATTCGCAGGATATGCAATGTATGAAGTAATCAGATTCCATCGTTTGAATCACTGCAATAGAAATTAAAAGAAAATGGTCGTGAGACCCTGCACCGATTTCTGCACAAAATCGGATTTTTGATTTAAAAATATTGACAAGCATAGTTTCATTAAAGAAACCCAACGATTAGTGGAATAAAGACAAACATATTTAACTCAAACTGATCAATGCAGCGCCAAAAAATGGAACACATATTATTTAGAGGAGGCTTGGTTCGACATCCATGACATTGTAAAGAAAGGATGGCAAAATTCTTCCATTTTGAATGTACCTGCATCTTGAGGAAAAACGCTTTGCTGCTTTCAGTGAAAATATTAAATGCTTAAAAGTAATTATAAATTAGACTATTATGGCAACTTTTTGGATAAAAAAATCTCAGACAGTCAGACTATAAAAGACAGTCAAGTCACACTGAGAATATAGAAGAAAGCGGCACAGCGAGTCTTAGAGTTTTAGAGTAGTCCAGCAGATAGATAATATCATTTTCAATGCATATAAATAAATATATTAAATGGACTACTCATTCATTGATGAGAATAACATGGATGAAAAGTTGAGTTTAACATCATCATCATCAGTAGCACTGCAACCCTGGGTGGGTCTCGGCTGCGTTTATAATTCGCCTCCATTCCTGACGGTCTTCTGTCATTTGGGGCTGGTACGTGCATCCCATTGTTCTGAGATCTGATATTACATTATCTCGCCATCTTAAACGCCATCCGCCTAGAAGTCTGCTCCCAGCTGGATTGTCACTCCAGACTAGCTTTGTAATTCTATTTTCTGGACTACGGTCTATGTGTCCAAGCCATCTTAGTCGTCTGGATTTAGTCTCCTGGACAATGTCCGCTTCCTGATATATGTCTCTCAGTTCATTGTTGTTTCTTCGTCTGTAGTTTCCCATTTCAGTATCTTTTACAGTACCAAGGACTATTCTTAGGATTTTTCTTTCAAAACACCTAAGTTTTCTCTCGTTTTGCTTCATCATTGTCCAGTTTTCGCACCCATACATTATTATCGATCTTAGTATGGTTTTATAGATTTGGATGTTGGAATTTCGCGATACCACTTTAGATTTAAGGACTCCAGAAAGAGCAAAGAGACATCGGTTTACGCTCTGGATTCGGCTTTTTAGTTCTTCTGTTATGCTGTTGTCCTCTGTTATCGTCACTCCTAAATACTTGAAACTAGTAACTCTTTCGAAATTATATTCTCCCATTGTGACACATTCTCTGTTTACCCGTCTGTTGACACACATATATTTTGTTTTTTCTTCATTCATTCTAAGCTTCATTTTGCTGGCGTTCTTGTCTATTTTACAAACATTTCTTTCACTCCACAGACCGATCTTTCTATGATATCGATATCATCAGCGTATGCCAGAAGCAAGTGTGGTCCATTTGGTGAAAAAATTTCTAGGTTCACTTCTGCATCTCTAATGAGTTTTTCTAGGGCGATATTGAACAGCAAGGGGGATAGTGCATCTCCCTGTCGTAAGCCGTTGTTTATGTGGAAATAGTCTGACAATGTTCCTATACGGACTGCACTTTTTGAACCGCTAACGCACATCTTTATCAGTGCTATAAGTTTTGCTGGAATGGAGAGTTCTGACATGGCTTCCCACAAAGCGGTCCTCTTCACCCTGTGATATGCCTGTCTAAAGTCTATAAATAGATGATGCTGAATTCCTTTGTTAAATTCTTAGCATTTTTCTAGCATCATCCGTATGGAGAAAATTTGATCTGTGGTTGATTTATGGGGTCTAATACCACATCGATATTCTCCTATTACATTTTCTGCATATGGTGTCAGTCTATGTAAAATGATATTCGCTATTATTTTGTATGAGATGTTAATAAGCGATATACCCCTATAATTATTGCAGACCATTTTACTTCTCTTCTTATGAATGGAAACAATTATGCTTTCTTTCGACTGCTCAGGCATGTTTTCCGTTTCCCATATATCCGAAATCAATTGGTGTAGATTCTTGTGTAATATTTCTCCTCCGTATTTATTATTTCCGATAGAATACTATCACTGCCTGGGGCTTTTCCATTTTTTAATTTTGCTACAGCCGCTGTCACCTCTTCCAGGCTTGGTGAGTCCACTGGCCAGTCAACAGTTTGAAATATTTTTGTTTTTGCTTCTTCTTGGCATTGGGTGTTTAGGAGGAATTCGAAATGTGTCTTCCAGGTATCCAGTATACTAGTTTGCTTCGTTATTAGTGTCCCGTCATCCCTTTGAAGAAAATTTTCTGTTTTTGGCTTAAAACCTTTTCTATATATTGCCAATTTCTTGTAGAAATCCCTTACTCTGTTGTTTGTGTTATATCATCTTCGAGGTCTTCAAACTTTTTTCTTTCTTCCTCTCTTTTCTTTCTTCGGCATATCCGTCTGACTTTCTTTCTGTGTTCTTGATACTTTCTGATGTTCTCTTCAGTGTTATGTTGTAGGCTGATCTGCCTACAACATAACACATAACAGCCAGTTCTACAAGTCTAAATCCGTTGTCATTGCACACTCGATACAGGCTATGACATCCTGTTGTTGGTCGGAGTTCTTGTTCTCTTCCTATTTGCGCGTTCATATCACCACTTAGAATAAACATATCGTGTTTTGGTATTCGTCCTATAAATGCATCTAGTTCTTCGTAAATTATTTCCTTAGTTTCTTCATCTTTGTCCTCTGTGGGAGCATGGGCCGAGATAATGGAGTAGTTGTACCAATTACCCCTTAGTCCTATATAAGCTAGACGTTTGTTTATCGCTTCAAAAGATATGATGTTTTTAACAAGATGTTGCTTTATGACAAAACCAGTACCGAATTCGTGTAACTTGTCCTTACTGCCACTGTAGAATACCACTGAGTTGCTAAAACTGATTGAAAACAATTTTTAACATCAATAAAGAAGGGGAACGGAACAATGTCGAATTAAAAAATCCTACTCCAAGAAAAAAGTTGACTAGTCGGTTAAATTTTCGCGATTATACATATGATCAAGGTTTACTCATACAAAGTGTGCATAACTATTTTTTTTTTAAATTCCTCCAGCTTTAATTGAAATTATTTGAGGGTATACGGATTTGCCAAGTTTTTCTTGTGGGTTATACAATTAATTGTGCTTGGTGTGACAATAGCATAACAAATAGTACAGATGCCTTTTTAAATGATTTAACAAAAAATTTTTAAAGCACCTACAAAAAGAGGTCCACATTTCGTTCTGCTTAATGCGGGATATGCAAAAGATTTCTATTCCGCGCCGAAAAGCGACGACGCTTATAACGACGGCGAATATTTCGAGCAATGGTCTGAGGAGCCGCTAAAAAAAAATAATTTCCTTATTACTACCCTAGATCGGTTTGATTTATTGGTAAAAAAGTACCTACTGACACATAAAAACGTTAATACCATTATTGCAGTCATAACCATTTATAGTGTGTCGGATTATACAACACTTCGCCTATATAATACAGCTATGGCCACTAAATTGTACAGTTCCATAATAATTGATAATTCTTTCGCATTAAGGAACAGGATATAATTTGCGGTTTTTTACGGTAAATATTTTTGTAATTAATCTATTTGAAAGTACCTATACAGTTTCTGGGTCCGGCACTGAACGGAATGTAAGCAAATGGGTGCCTATTACTTGAGTTCTCTGCTAAAAATCTATCGGGGTTGAATTTTTCGGGATCCGACCACAACGATGAAGTCCGGTGTAAATCGTAAACGTGTATGAAAACCGTTGTCCCTTTTGCTATTTTGCCACGACTAGTAAACACGTCTTCTTCTAAAACTCTGCCAATGAACGGAACACTCGGATACAGTCTCAAACTTTCTTTGATGCATCTAGAAACGAATTTCATATTCACCAATGCGTACGCTCGTGGATTAATGTAGGATAAGGAAATTTCTTCAGTATTCATAAGTTCAAAATAGCGCTAGTAGTAATAAAAGAAAACTAATTGGACTTATTGCCTAGGGCTTTGGAGTCATACATTCTGAGCATCTCAGGCAGGATGTTAGGGAAATTCGAAAAAAAAAAGTGAACTAAAAGAAAATGCTCGACACTATTTTCGAGTTTCTAAAATGCATAGTCAATGTTTAGTATTCATTGCTCTATGTCTAGTAGGAAAGTGATGGGTATTAGAATATTTTCTTAAATAAATGTCGATATGCCTAGGCTATCAATAGTACTTTCATTGACGCGATTGAGATTGCTTACTTTGCCGATTTTTCTGATATAATCGCCAAGAATTAATCTTCTGAAAAAAAATGCAATGATAAATGACTTTTATGTATTAGATATTATAGCACTATAATCCAGTGGCAACTGCTTCTGAATAAGTATTTAACATTAAAAAAAAGTTGAATTTTGGAAAAAAAATCCATATATCAAATTCACCAAATCAATATAAAATGCTATTTATACTATTCACAAATCGTCTGGATTCCTAATGAGTCCGTTGTTGATGAATTGAACTTGCAGACGTTTCGCCAATCATCCTGTAGGCTTCTTCAGAGTTTAACTGAAGCTAACTCGCATTCTACTCTGTACCAGCTAATACATTGTTTGACAGCTAATACATTGTTTGGTTACTTATATATTTCTATTGATTCTCCGATCTTAAATTCAAACATTAAATTCCTGGTGTCCCAAACGGAATTTTGTCTTTGACGGATCGAAATTGTTGATAGATTTTTAGACAGGTAGTAAATCTGGTTTTGACTTTATATTTCTAAAGAACCTATAATATATAGTCAGTGATGTTTTGAGTGGAAGGCAAACTATAGTGGCAAGTGTGGGGTTGCTTTCGAACTCATTGAAGGTTTTGGTCAAATGTATTTTGTGATGGGACGCTAAATAATATCTCTAATGTGGAAATTACTAGAAAAGCAAAGAAGTGTTTCAATTCTGGGTTCAGTGACTCGGGCTGAGATAGTTTGATTTTTGGGCCGGATGGTGAAGTAGCCATGCATTAAGGTATCGGTCTGTATGTGTAGGTTTTCTGTAAATACAATGACTCAGTGTTAAGTATTGATGAGAATATCTAAGATTAGAAGGTTATTATTAGTTTGAAACTCAATGGTAAAACGTATATTACGGTGTACAGAGTTTAAATGTCAAAGAAAATCTACTAGAGTTTCTCGAACATGAGGCCAAATAACAAAAGTATCATAAACGTAGCGTTTCCATAATTTTGGTTTTAGATGGAAGGTGTCGAGAGCTTTCTGCTCAAAGGCTTCCATAAATATATTCGCGATGACTGGTGATAGTGGAGAACCTATAGCTGTTCTCGACGTTTGTTCAAAAATTTGACCGTTATAAGAAAAATATGTTCCAGCCAAGCCTTTTTAAATTAAGATGAGAAGGTTTGGTTCCAAATTCTCGGATTTTAATATATCTGAAATAATGCTCAGAGTTTCAGGAATAGGGACTAGGGAATAGGGATTCTACGTCAAAACTAATCACAACATTCTGTGGATCTAATGTAATGATTTTTAATTGTTCAATGAAATAATAAATAATTAAGTACGAAACTATCAGTTTTCCCTGTGAAGGATTGTAATATAGAAGCTAGATATTTTGCTAGAGAATATGGCGGAGAACCAATACTATTGACAATAGGTTCAAGGGGTAATCCTGGTTTGTGAATCTTAGGAAGACCGTAGAGACGAGGAATTTTAGAGTCATTAGGGGTGAAAGACTTTTACGGATTCTGATAGAGAAGAAACCTTAACAACATATTTAAGGTTGCGTTCCATAGATGACGTAGGATCTGTTTTTGAGTTGGCAGTAGGATCCGTCTCTAAGAATATCTTGAATCTTTTCCTGACATTCGCTTGTGTTAATAACCATCGCAACCACCATAGCATTTCTTTATCTGCTTTTAGAATTACGATGCTGGACTAGATTTTAGAGATTTTAAAGCCAGGCGTCCACGGTTTGTAGTATTAGATCTAGGAGGTTTGGATTTGTTAATGATGTTTGCGGTTTTAAATCGAATATCATTAGCTGTTTGGGAGGATTTATTTTTTTGAGATAATAACGAAGTTGTAACCTGTTACTAGAAACGTCTGCAAGTTCAATTTATCAACTACCGATACAGAAGGAATCCATAAGATTTGTAAATAGTATTACAGTATCATGTGGAAGTTTTATGTTTTGAAATGCTTATATCGCCGAATTTATATTAGTGCAAAAAGGACAGCTGCCTTAGCATAATAGCATTAAAATAAAAATTTTATATAACTATTATATTTTTTTATTGCCTCTCTTTAAACTGTTTGCCTATGCCCTACCTGATCTAAGTCAAAGCTTTTTATTTTAGATTTTAAATATCAAGTAACAACTCGATAAAAGAGAACAGCGTTCATTTTACTAAATTAAATATTTTTTAAATCTATGATATAGAAGTGAAAAAATTTGCCTAGCAAGTTCAGCAGACATATTTATGACACCGCCAAAGTCAAACGGTTCCCTTTTAAAAAGTTTATACATTGATATTATGAAATAAATGAAGGAAGTAGATGAAACATAATCACACACGTTACCAATTTTTTTTGTATTTCTTTTGATTACCTTATATTTTTTTAAATTGAGATTTATTTTATTGTTTTAGTTGTATAGTAAAAAATCTGATTTTTCGCTTATTTAAAGAATTAAAAAAGAATCGAACTAAACGAAAAAATTATACATAAGGTAAGGGTAGTAAGTATCTGTATATAGAATTTCGCAATAATGACAGAAGAGAAAATTTAGCAATTAGATTGCTCCCAAAACGGTGCGGTAATATCCCCGAAATGTGCGAAGTGGCTCGGATCCATGGGACATGAAGCTCACGTGATAAAGTGAAGCTTTCTGCACGTTAGATCGGTGTATAATTAGGTGTTTTACAGAAAGGAATAAAAAAAGATCAAGAACTTTTAACTAAAATTTTCAAATTACACGATTTCTTTAAAACAAAACATTGTCGGCACCGATATTGAAGTTCAAATTAAAGACATTCAAATTCAAGATGAAGATGTATATGTAGATCGGTCCCCGCCCACATCATGAACTAATCATATAACGAAATAAATGTATCTTGCTCAAGTAAATCTCATTCACAACTAATAATGAAAACGTCTTCACAAAACGAACATAAGATTAATAAAAAAATAACGATATTACACAGAACTGCAAACCTTAGAAATTTTGGTAGATATAAAGGCAATCTTAGAAAAGTTTGTCGATATATAAGCAAAACGATTTTTTTTCACTAGTCTTCTAAATGGAAAAAAATGTAAGGCGTTCGTGGCTTTATTACTGAGAGGCAACAGAAAGAACGTGTACAGCAATGCATCTAAATTATTATGTCCGAAAATCAACGAATATAATGAAATGTTTAATGACTGCAAGCATTGTGATTATTTGCACAAACATAAAAAACTTTGGACTATGTACAGGGTGGCCCGTTTACGAGGGGCCTATCCTTGTCTCAAAATTTATGAATTATAAAAAAGTTTGAATGAAAAAGTTGTTTCCAGTAAAATGATCTTTAATTTTTTTGTATTATTTAAATTGTCGCTCAATTACAGACAGGGAGGTCAAATAAAGTTGTATTATTTTAAATGGAACATAATATTTATTACACTTTTAATTACCCCTAATTTAACGATATATATAAATATAATAATCATACCTTTTCTTAGACATTATTCAAAATTTTCTTCTTTCTTCTCCCAATTTTTTAAAAATTAAACATTCTGTACATTGTTGCATTTTCTTTAAAAGACTCTCTTTAAAAGACGAATCCAATAATATTTATGAACATGGGTCTGCAATGCACCGAGTTGAATTTATTGACGATTTTTATCAATTTCCAGGCAATATTAACGAAATTAATATTCATTCTGAAAGCGTCTATAATATTTTTTAACAAAATTGCTCTCTCGATAATTATTTTTTTGAAAATAGTCTAAAAATTATAAATTGTTTTATTTTTAAAACAGTTCCATTTGATAAACCTTTTCAAAAATTAAATTAATAATTTTATATTAAATGTTCCATATATCCACCATTTTCAATAATAATGCAAGTGATATATATTAGCTTCAAATGTTTATGGCCTTTAATACATAATTGGTCGTATTTAATTGATTAATTCCATCCGGAAATTTTTGTTGTAATAAAAAAACTTCTATGGTTTTATTTTTGTTTACTAAATTGCCGCACAAGTTCAGTGGGTTCATGTCTGGGTTCCTTGCCGACCAGATGATCATTTTGCCCAATCAATTTCCATTTAAAAAGTCGCTGGTATTAGCACTTCTTATTGCCAAATAAATTTGGATGTTGTATACACGAATAGTATTCCGAACAAGAGGCTCAGTATTATTTTTTAATAAATCTAAAAATCGTATACCGTCAAATTTTCTTCATTAAATATTGGTCCTAAAATTCTATCTTTCCAAATACCGCACCACACTAGCCAATCTTCTTCCTTGCTCATTTGCCTCAAATTCACAAAATTTATTTTCAGAGCACAGTTTTTGATTAAAATTAAAATTAAGAAAATTAAATTAAGACGCATTAAAAAAATACTTAACGATATTTAAAATAACCAGCAATTTAAGAAAAAAAGATGCTTTCAGAACTAACCCAGAAAGCTAAGCAATTTAGCTAATTGCGTTAATATAGCCTGGGAATTGATAAAAATCATCAAATAATAAAAAAAACTGACGACATCGTAAAACCATTAATTATTTGCGTGATGGCAACAGCGTAGATTCAGTATTCTGAATTAAAATTACACAGTATGCAATACAACACCATCTATTCATCTATTTGGGTTTCAAATTCCTTACTACTACACTATTACAGCTATGATCATTTATTTATCATGTGTCGGACTTTACATTTGGGGTAATTAAACATTATTAGCAACCAGCCAAGTGAAAAGTTTTCCCAAAATCTAACTTTTTTTGAGCATTGCTTTCTTTTATACATATTTTAGGTTAGGATAAAGATATTGAGATGGTTTGGATTGGATAAAAAACTCATGTTGTTGGATTCACTATTTCTTCAGAAAATTATAGCTTCATTTATAGCACGATTTATAGGAGAAGCCTCTTACAACCACTCAAAGTTTATTAAAATGAGAACCAAAAAAGCTTTCAATTTTTCTCAACTTGATGGATGTAACTATACTCAACATTTGAAATTTTATATATTTTTAAAATTCAACAAATTCACCCTCTGGTGGCGATTCCAGAGACCCGAAAATAATGTAATAATAATCAATACATTTTTCAAAAATATCTAGGAACGCCCATTTGAGAGTGGAGAGAAAGGTGAAATTAATTATATTAATTAAATAATTTGATGATTTCGATACACTGTAGAATTTTTTTTTGGGTAGAAGAAAGTGCTAGATGCAAGTATTTTTATATAATGCAATAAAACCTGGTGACTTTTATTCTCTTAATAGGATCGATTTTTTTTATTCTCGCAGCCGACGAAAAAGACCGGTCCTGCCGCTCGAAAGTCGCGTGACTCATAGATCCAGCAATTTCAGTCAGTCCGGCTGCGATCCGGGAAAACACGTAAGTCTATGTAGGTTACCGGCGTAATAAATTGTTTAAAACTCGGTTTTTTCATTGTTTTCTTTTGTGTCAGTAAAAACTGGAATGTTTTAAAAACCCGTATGGATTCGTAGTAAAAGCCAAGTGACGGATAAACAACGGTGCAAACTGCCCGTGAAGTTGTGTCTTTGGATATCGGTGTTTGTAGGTTATACCGCCGTATTTCAAACTTTGAAACTCGGTTTTTAACTGTATTTTTTGTGTTATCAATAACTAAAATGTTTGAGAAAACCCGTGGGCATTTGTGATAAAAACCAAGTACCAGAAAGTACAAAGAACAGTGCAAACATACCGCGAAGATGTGTTTTTGGGTGTAGGTCAAATTACATGTCCGAAGAAACGGGACCCATTTCCACTTTCAGTTTACCATCTGACCCGAATCAATAAGGAGTTTAGCTAAGAAAGATACCTAATGATATTAGGCAATTAAAGAAACCAGCTGTATGTATAAAACATTTTGCAGAGAAATATGTTATTTGCATTGACAAGTGCCTAGTTAAAGAATATGCTCGTGAGAGGCCAAAATTAGCGGAAGGTGCTGTGTCAACTATTTTCGAGAATGCTCCAAAGTACTTCACCCAAACACAGCCCAATGTTGTTCGTTTAGCTGATGTCGAAGCAAAGCAAATGGAGGCAGCGATAAAAGCAAGCCTAGAGACACAAAAAACCTTCGAAAATGCCAAAAAGGTTTCATCACTGGGAGATAAGTGTGTTTAAAATCGATTGTAAGATTTGACGACAATAACACCTACATTGCATTGCATGTTAAATAAAAGCTTGTAATAACTGTAGATCGTAAAAATAGGTTTAAAACAATTGATACTAACACGATAAATAATACCTGACTCTAAAATAAGTTTCCAAATACTTTTAGATAATTAATATTAAAGGAAATCTTTAGGAAACCATTTTATTGCAATGTAGCCTATGTCAATCTTGGATCTATTAGGGTCACGTGACCACCAATACCGGCAGTACGCGAACAGGCCGCTATTTTTCGTCGGCTGCGTGTATTCTTTACTACTGTTAAAACCTGCTTTACAGGGGGCGATTTTATCTTTTACCGTTCGTAGATGTAGAGAGATTTTAGGAGAAGAAGAGAATCTTGATTTGATGTTAAGTTTTTTTTTTTAGTATTTTTTATTTTTGTTTAAATGATATTTTTGATCTATCAGTTAAGATGAACTAAGGCAAGATGTGTTAATTTCTGGTTGAGATTCGGATCGAGTCAGTGATGTTACTCTGACTCTAACGAATAATTATGGAAGATTTTTGGGCTGGATGGTGGCGTGATAATGCATTTAGATATCGATAAGTATATAAGAAGATAGTTGTTATCATTTTAAGAAAAGAAATCTAGAAGTGCACATACAAGTTCCACATCCTGCTCAAATTTCTTTGAATAATAAACCAAAAAGCTACATAGCTGTGCTGTTTTTTATTTTGATCATTAGATTTGATATGGGTAACCATTTTTTTAAAAATAAGAATTAGTATACCACTGTTTTTAAAATACTTTCATAGATATTCTGGATTTTTGCTGCTTCGGTAGTTTCAGTTAAGCTCTGAAGAAGCCAACATGATGATTGGCGAAACGTTAGCAAGTTCGACTCAACATCAACCCACGCAGTTGGAATCCAGAAGTTTTGTAAATAGTATTACAGTAGCCTGTGGAAGTTTCTTTGAAAAATCAATTTTGAAGTCATTAGCAAATGCGTGTTCTATTTGCTAATTGAATGTTGTTTCCTGTCACTTTCTGACCTGACCTCGTATACTTATTCTGAGCTCTGCCGAAGACATTAGATATCCGTTTTCAGCCATACCTTTCCGTATATTTCATATCTTGTAAATCGTTGTAAGAAGGTTCTTTGTCCAGATTGTTATTTAAACTTTCAACAATTTCTTCATAAATGCGATCCTGAAAAAAAAAACAATAACCAAATAAGAAACTGACTTCATGAAGTGGGCTGATAGGATAAAAGAATTTTAGAAATATAAAATAAAATATTAATTTAAGAACCGATCAATTGACGAAACATTTTCTTTACTCTTATATAGTCTCATATTCTTTTACTGTACTATTATACATATAGGGTCAAGGTGGCAACAATGGTTAGGGCGTACACAATGGATCACACGCTATTCCTGCGAAAGGGACAGAGATTTCTGCTTTCTCTCTCACTCGTTACTTCTATTCGGCAACGGAACTCGTTCGAACTATTTGGTGTGCGTCGTTGGCCAGGCTGATTTGTGCTGATCATTGTTTTTGGTTCTTGGTTGCAAAAATACGAATTAGAAGGTAAGACTTGAACCTTTCTATCATGTATTATCATATAACTTAGTGCTGGTATACGTGCCTTAAAATGTACTTAATTAGGCTTATTTTCCGGCAGAAACTTTTGATTAGTATGTTTAATTTACGGCTGGGTACAATTTTTAAATATTAATGGCGTCCTAGTACACAATGGCTCAGTCTTCGTAAGTACACAATGGATCATGATCCATTCTGTACCCAATAGAATGAGAGTTGGCCGTAAATTAATTTTTGAGTTTTAGATGTTTTTTTTTCACGCAGTGTTTGTTTCCAGAATGCCACGTCCAGAAAGGCAGCTTTATTAAGAATTGAAATGGGTGATAGCCTCCGCAAAGTGTCTGGAACAACTGGAATTCCGTTTACAACATTAAGACGGTATTATTTTAAGTCAAAAGCACAGGGCACATAAATAAATAAATAAATTTCGAGTTCCCAATGTGCCTGACATATCTTTCGTGAAAGAAGATGACGTCAAATTGATATTACCAAAGCCAATTTGTAGGGGCAGTACCTCAAGACAGCAGTCTTTCTATAGTTTCCCATTAGATTTATCTGCCCTCAACGTTAATTAAGTCATTTTTTAATTCTGTTTGTTTGTTTATTACTATGATCTCTAATATCACAAGTTATGTTTATGTCGATTGTTATTGCGCCTAGATGTAAGAAATCAACAATATTTTCAATTTTAATTTAAGTTTCGTTGTGTTCTTTTTTTCTAGTCCTTAGGTCAGATAGTTTAGTTACTGGTTATGACCTAGAGAATCAAGAAGCTGTCATTTATGTTTTGTTCAAGTTTAGTCGTTACCAAAGTGATATGTGTTTAGTTATTACTAAAAGAGTGAGTTAACATTTACCTATTCGTACTTGACTTATTAGTACCTAGTCTCAAAATATAGTTGCTAATTATAATCTAGCGAATAAGGGATTTGTCCACCAATTACTTATATACCTGAATTTGTTATATTTTTATAAATATAGTATGTCCATTCTTTAATACTTATAAAAATAATTATCCATTGTGTACTCCACTGATCCATTGTTTACTTAGGGGTGAGCCATTGTACCCTAACCTTAGTACACAATGGATCATTTGCAAACTTAAAAAAAAATGGTCGTCATGATGCAACCAACCTATTATGTCAAAAAGTAATCGTGGGTAATTAAAGTAGTGGAGCCACAGTTTGTTGAAAATAAAATGAAAAGTTATAACTTTCATAACTTTTTTGCTACAGCGTGTCAAACAAAAGTTGATCCATTGTTGCCACCTTGACCCTACATATACATTTATTTGTAGCTAAAAGATTGTCGTTATCCTTACAATCCAGAAATAATTGTTACAACTGGAAGGAATACATTTTTGTTGCCGCTAAGAAATCCATTTCGTTACCTACAGCCAACACCTTTTGACAGGCGAGAAAAACTTAATAATATAATAGACGAGAATTACTGATTTGATTTTGTAAGAAGCTATGCAGATAGTTACATTAGTTCACGAATAAAGGCATCTCCTGACTTAATCATCGAATTTCATTAAAATATCCATTTACGGTATCTTGGCATTTCAGAAGTGGGATACAGTTTTTGTTTATTTTTATTGTAACTGCGAAACTGACAATTTGTCAAAACCCTTATCGGAACCAACAGCTACAGCAAAGGTTCAAGCTGTGCTAGACGCATAATCTCCCCGAAATGTAAAACAACTTCGATAATTTTTCGACTTAAAAGGGTATTTTATCCATCAGAAAATCAGAGATCACGTCCGCCACCCGTGCAATGGGGTTCAATAAGATTATCGTCTCAAAGTTTCATGAACTGCTTGGTAGCATTTTAAACAAATATAAACTTGGGCCGCACAGAATTGCGATTAAACCGGAGTGTCATCAGTTTCGAAAACTGAATCTAAAATTATATCACGAGGAGGCCAAAAATAGGTCGGTTCACTATCTTCAGCAAGGCATGAATTCAACAGGGAGTTCTATGCGAGCTGTGATGGTATTTCCTAGAAAACGTATGGAAGTCGGACTTTTGGACGATGCAATCGAAGTCGATGGATGACCACCGATATATTTGTAGCGTGCTTTAAATATTTCATTAGGTTTACTAATACAAGCCAAAATAACCCTGTTCAGCTTCTATTAGCTACCCACACGAAAAATTTAGAACTTATAGACGTATCATGATAAAACGGAGTAATTTTGTTATATTTTCCCTCTCCGTTGTACTCATCGTATTCAGCCGCTGGATGTGATATTATTGAATCCGATAAGTGTATATTATGACCAAGTTTGTACTGCCTGACTTAGAAGAGGTGTGGTAACAATATTCCAGGTAGGGGAAATATTTGGGAAGGCCACGAGGCTGCAACAATGCCTACAGCCAGACGGCAAAAATATCTATAACAAATCAACCGTCTACTAGCTCTCAGCCATCTAAAGAAATCCAGTCTGCCAGAACCAACATTGAACACACAGTTCTATAAACACACTTCTATAAATGAACCAACTACTAGTTCTCAGCCACTTGAAGAAATCCAGACTGTCCAATGCAATATTGAAAACACTTTCAGTAATATGGTTTCACAAAATTGAACTGAGGTGGCTTTTACTTGATGAAAATCCATTTATCAAAATAAATAAGAACTAAAAGTTCAGATTTTCACGAAATTATATATTATGACATGACAATTCTTTCGACAACACGTGCCTTTATCAAATGTCCACATTTGATAAAGGCACGGTGTTGTCGAAATAATTGTCATGTCATAATATATAATTTCGTGAAAATCTGAACTTTTAGTTCTTATTTATTTTGTTTCACAAAATGCCGTTCAATCATCACCCACAAGCTGTGAGAATTCCATAGAAGGTGAAGATGATGTATGCCTTTATCTAGATGGGTGAAAATATGCTTCCATACATTAAAAAGTCTCCACCACTCAAAATACTTCCATTATATTCCCCAACAAAGAAAGTTTGTCACAAAAAAGGATTCCTGAGAGCAAACAAGAACCAACCAATCTTAAAAATAAGAAAAATGCCAAACGCTTAATACTGTGAAGATGATGCTATATTCTAGATATTTTTATTTATAGTCCAGGCCTCAAAATTCCTGTAGTGGTGTGGATAAAAATAACCTTGTTGATCTGCTCTTCACCTATTTTTGCTTGTACCCAAATTTGCTTATACCCATAGTTACTTAAAACAAGCAATTTTTACCGCAACACGTATTCATGACAAAATCTCTACTTCTACTGACCATATTCTAATTTTAAATAATCTAGAAACTTTTGTTTGCGGTAGGCATGGATCTTGTAAATGATATTTCTGAATATTTTGTGCTAAACAAATTACTTCTTGAGTTTTCGTTTCGTCTCCAGATCTATCAAAAGTGAAAGTTTCAATTCTCCGGGTTTCATTTAGATGCGCCATTATTTATTATTTTTATTCTTTTGCTCATCAATAGAAAGAGATACGCATAGGCTATGCTACATGAATTATGCGTGAAATTTGACATAAAATTCGAAAATGGATTAAAAAAAGTGGTGATTTGTAAAAAATAACTTGGTATCGACATCTACACATTTGGTTTTCTATTTACCTGGTTTTTAGATGAATTAGATCCATATTTTCCGACACCCTGACATAATAAAAACGTTTTGGATTTAATATTATAAAACTTAAACTATTTTCGTATTTACTGGAAGACTTGGAACTTTAACACATACACCTCTAATGGGTTTCTTATAAAACGAAAAACTGTTAGAAAAGCTGGGGTTTTTTATAAATATCCATTAACTTGAAATAAAACCTCTTCATTTTACGCTTAACTTATTTATGCTTTACTTATTTTTCTGGACTGAAAGCTGTTATACTCTTTTTTATTTTAGGAATTACTTTTATAAAACTTCTGGATTCTTCCTGCGTCGGTTTTCAGTCAAGCTCTGAAGAAGCCAACAGGATTATTGGCGAAACGTTAGCTAGTTCGACTCAATATAAACCGACGCAGGGGGAATCCTGAAATTTTATAAAAAGTAGAACAGTAGCCTGTGGAAGTTTCTCTGAAAAATTAATTTAAGAATGACGAAAAACATTTTGTAATAACCTATAAATCGTATTTATCTGATTTTAACATATGTGTTGGTGGATTTTAAGTAAACATGAACATACTTACCTGAATGTCTTTGTGGTTAGCCAACAATAGCAAGGTAAAAATCAGGCTCATTGCAGTAGTATCGTGTCCCTAGATAACAAAGTATTGAAATGTTAATAATGTGAAATGAGAAATTTTCGACTTTTATTATTTTTATTATTTAGTTCCACTATGTTTCTAAAGGTCAAGATCTCCAGTGGCGTTCAAAGGAATACTAGACAACTGCAGATATTTTTAACACTTTAAATTAAAATAAAAAATATTCAAGTTTTCACAAGTTACAAGTTATAAAAACTATAAGATCTCATCCTAAATTTGTCATCAAAATTTCTTTAGAAATATTCAATAAGGTTAAAGACATTAAAATCTCCCTAATGCTCCTAATCTATTTCCAGACGTTCCAACTTTCGATGTAATAATAGTATATTATGCAACAAGTGCGGTAAACCGTTTAACTCACGAGTTTATTTGACACGATCCGAGCGAGTGTTCAATAAACGAGTGACTTAAAAAGTTTACCGAACCTGTTGTATATTATACTTTTTCTACTACAGTTTTTGGATACATTTTCTCAAAACAACACGAATACATTCAGTGACATGACTGTCAGAATTGACAAACGTCAAATTCAAAACGTGGGAAATATCTCCGAAAACATAAGATTACTGCCGAATCCTTGCGGTAAAATCCCAGAAATGTCCGGAGTGGCTCGGATTCATAGGAAACGAAACTGACATGGTAAAGTGACGTTTCCCGCACGCTAGATCGGTGGGTAAGTACGTATTTTACAGACGGGAGTAGAAAAAAACATATTAGACAATATCCTTACTCAGAAACAAATCAACCCATCATAAAGCAAGATTTATAATTAAAGAAGCATTAATTATGGAGAAATCGGCTTGGTCCAATACCTGCAGAAATTTTCATGGACAATAGAAAATATTTTACATATTAGTCCTCTGAGTCAGAGGTCTCTTTGATGGTATAGATATGTGGATGATGATGCCGGTTTCAGTGAAATTGAAAGACAACTGCAGACATTTTTAATCATATCAATTCAGTTGCATAATCGTGTAAAATTCACCATCCAGACGAGACAATTATTTAAATTTTCCGGACTATAACTGAAGGACAAAACACATACGAAGATAGTAATAAATTATACCCCAAATGCCATACACACACAAAATGGCTGCCGTTCATTCTTTTATCCACAAATTACATAATATATCACTTTCTACAGAAACTTTTTAAAAATAATTAAATATTATTAGAAAAATAACTTTTAACAAAGTTGCGATCCTAAAAGAAAAGTTTCAAATAACTGCGATTCCAAAGTATTAAAAAAAAAAGTTCAGATTCTAATTATGTCATTCATTTAAATTCAAAATGCGCAAGTTTGAGGATAATATTGGAAGCTATACAGATTAATAGTCCAGCACACGATAAATGGTCATGACTTGCCTTGATCATCAAGGCTCCTTATTCTCAATAAACTGAGCAATATAAGGTATTAAGGTCCATTTAACTGAGGTCACAAACAAAAGTAAAAAAAAACTCCTTTTGCCTTTTGAATGATTAGTTTTTTCATTATTTTAGTTATTACTTGCACAAAATCATTATAAGTATATTATATATTATAAATGTACGTTATCAGAAACAGGTATTTTAAGGGCAAACAATCATTTAAAAGGGGCCCATCGGACTGCAAGAACTCCCGAATTGAAGAAGATTAAAATCCTGAACTTGACATCAGAAAAATTGAAAATAATCGGAATATTCCGCACATTTTGTTTTGGAAAATTTTACACGATTTTCTATTGTGCACATATCACATTCAACGAGTCCAAGCGTTACTTCCCTTGCGTGTTAATTTTTGTTAATGGTTTGTGGACACAATTGGGCATTATTTTTTTTTGACCAAGAAATGCTATATTTGCTATATTCGGACCGATGAAAACCCTCCATGCAGTTGTAGAATTTAAACTTCAAAACCAGTTTTAGGTAAATGTTTTGGCTAAAATTTTTGGAAATTACTTAATTGGACCCGCTTTCCTGCCAGAAATTCTAAATGGCCATAATTATAATATTGCTAGAAGAGGTACCATATTTAATTAGGAATAGAATGTGGTTCATGCATGACGGTGCGCCTGCTCACTTTAGTGTTGCAGTAAGAAAATATTTAAATCACACATTTAATTAATAACCGCGGCGGACCTCAACCATGACCCCCTAGGTCCCCAGATTTAAATCGTTTGAACTTTTTGTTATGCAGGCATCTTACAATTCTGGTTCATCGCAACCCAGTTAACACTGTAGAAGAACTGAGCTGCAAAGAGTGCACGGCAATATGAGAAAAAGAGCTAAAGCGTGTATCCTTCAAGGTGGAGAACACTTTCAACAACTTATCTAGTTTTTATGTCCTACTTTTTTCAAAAAGGTTGTTATTAATTTATTAACAATTAAAAATTTTGTTAAAAATTGTTAATAGTAGGTAGTGTTTCTCTTTTTCAATAAGAATAGTTTATTATTTATCTTGTTGTTAGGATGTTTTACCATTTCATTAGAACTGTAAAAGTAAAATGGATAGTCATGTAATTTTTTTTCTGGAAGGACAATATTTGGTAACTAAAAAGTAGATATTTTGTTTTAGATGAATATTTTATTTTTTACAAAAAAGTATTTGTTTGGAGACGGTCAGTGGCACGCCACTAAATTGTTAAAAGTGTTTTTAAAAATAATGACATTTGAATTCATTTATGAGCAGATTTGATCTTTTTTTTTTAGTGTGTCGCACGGTTTTCAGTTAAAAATAGAAACTAATTTCTTTGAATGCTGCCATATCAACGATTTTGTTTTTAAATGAAAACCGCACATCGAATTGAAAAATTCTTTAGAAATGATTTTAGAGAGGTGAAGTTCCTTACGCCCGCCACTGGTATATTTTAAAAATTTGTGGTACACGAAATAATGCCTCTCAATTCATAGTATAGGTGTGCTAAGATTCATTAAAATATCTAAAGTGGTATTACAGATACTAAAAAAATATATTTAATTTTCGAAAACTTTAGCTCAAAAGTTAAGACGTTTAAGACATATGTTTATATGAAGTTTTCGTTTTAAAATTTACCCAACAATGGCACCTTTAATTATTGACATTCAATTAGAAAACACCCTGTATATTTTATGTTTCAATTATCTTACCAATGCCATGGGCCGGTTTGATTTATTGGCGCGAAAATGTCTACTAGCAGATAAAAACGTTAACAGCAATATTAAAGTCATGACCATTTGTCGTGTGTCGAACTATACTTAATTCCCATTGTTAAATCTTAATTTAAATTTACGCAGCCTATAATAATTGAAGTTAATAATTTGTGAAAACCGTAACATAATTTATTGTAATTTAATATCGAGTACAGCACGTTACCTCAAAAACAAACGTGTTTACTTCCTCGCTAATTCCAGCGTCGTCGATGATCCCGTCATTCAATTTTGCATTCAGCAAAACGTCCAACATCGCATGATGCCTATCGGTGTTAACCGCGTATGCGTTCTCTTCGATGTCGAGAGGAACGTTAAACGCCTTGAATGTTTCTTCGCGCTTTTTAATGATGTTGTTCGTAAAATTATGAAGGATAGTGACAACGCTTCGTTCGGTTTTTGCCAGCGAAGAAAAGTTGTGGTAAAAAAAATCGATCCCATTCCAAAACCGTACAAATCTCTTGTACACAATTGTCGATATTTCATACACGGCCTCTTTATATCTTAAACCCTGTTCCCTGAACGTACCAAGGTTTACTCCCATTGCAGTTTCTGAAAGTATTTATTTACCATTCCATTACAAAGTATTAAAGTAAAACACCAGTAAACAAATTATATTATGTTGCAAAAACTATATCTAGTTCTTTAATGCGGGAGACTAACAAAATGCGAATTTCGAACACAGGATATATGCACAGACATCGAACTAAAATAGACCGCATAAGATCCGGTTGATCCTAAATAAACTATTAAAAAATAAAAATTCTGCATTTTATGGAACTCGTCTGGGATTCACCTATACTGCTGGGTAGTTCCTCCGGGAGTTTCACGGCGATACGTAATGAATGTAATGACGACCGTTACTATCGCACTGTTATTTTGAAATATTTTACAAAATCAGTTTCCAGGATAAACTTGAAGCGGTTCAAGGGTTAGATAGCGGTGAATTGAAAAGAGATGTGGAGGTGAGAGTACAGTTGCAGAATGAAGAAAAAATATGACAGGTATGAAAAGTAATAAATGCGATTTTTTATTTAAATGGTTTACATAGAATTAAGAACCAATTCGGGGACCATTTTAAAACAAAAAAAGGTGAGTTCAAGCGAAGATTTGCCTCTCATTGAAGCGCCTCAAAGTTTTTCTACAAGTGATGGATGGTTAGGCCCAAGGAAAAAAAGACATGGTGTACGTCGACGTCAAGTTTCTGGAGAAAAGTTGTCTGCCGATATCTCTACGCCAAAAAATTTGCAGCGAATTTTATGAGGCTTATGAAAGAGAATGATTTACAACCAGACCAGATTCTCAATAGTTACGAAACAGTCTTGAACTAAAAAATGTTTCCCTCAAATACTTTAGCTTCAAAAAGGGAAGTTGGAGCAACTGGTTACAAACGCAGTAAAGAACGTGTCACTGTTCTTGCTTTCGCTAATGCTTCTGAGAGACACAAAATTCCATTATTATGTCCGACAAGTCAACAAAACCACGAGCCTTCAAGAATATTCGTCCCCGTGCTTTTTTCGGTTTTGTAGAAAAATAAAAAAAGGCTGGATGAATGCAAATCTATTTAAAAATTGGTACGTATACCCCAGAAAATGTGTTTTATTATTAGACAATGCTACCACTCACCCAAGCGCGGAGCAATTTGAAAGAGGGAAAATAAAATCAATGTTTTTCCCTCCTGATGATAACAAAGTAGAAGGCACTGACAATATTCCAGGAAAAATATCACATTCAAAACGGCTAGAAGCCTTGGAGAAAACGTTAAGGAAAAACTTCAAGAAAATGCAACTGCCGTGGATGCCCTTTTTACCAAACGTTGGAGAGATATTGCGGCCAATAACAGAAGTAGCGCCAAACGCGTGCTGTTAAAAATTACCTACCTCATTTTCAACTCAGCACAGTAAATAATGAGATATACATTTAGGATTTTACATTGCATTTAACGTATCCTTTATGTTAAAATCTGAAATCGTAAGAAATAATGAAAATAATGTAATAGGGTTGGACTTCTCGGACATATTAGAAGAATACACAACACAGCGCTTAAAATAAATGACATCACATCCATTCACATAATTGATTATTAACAGGAATCCAACGATCCGCGACCCGCTAGATCAACTACAAAATAGGCAATCAAAAATAAAGTATCGGAGCTACTTAAAATCTGACTTAACCACTTACTTACGACTTAACTTAAAGCTAAGGGCGCCGACATAAAAATTTTGAGTAACAAAAATTTCTAAATTATTTTTGTTTCTTTGTTTAATAAATACGTCATTTCAAGTCAAATATTTTATGTGTCTTTATCTAAAACTACTTTTTTCACACTTGAGTTCACATTATTTCAGATAATCTGAACTGTACTCTTCTATTTTAAGGAGGAACAGATTAAGATAAGTGGCCTAAAAACTGCAGCAATAACATTTTTTAAAAATCTAAATCGTATTGAAAATCAAAGTCACAAGTTTAAAAATAATCGCTACAAATTGCAGTTTTTGTTTTTCAGCGAGTTTCATGAAAATCCTAGGAACGCATACCTCGCCTGACGTCGTTTCAGCTTGTCTTATAAATCTACGACAACAAGAAAAAATGAATACACGCGTGGATTTGTTTGCATACTCACACCGTTGCTGCATTTTCACTATCAGTCTTTAAAATATTCTATTTCTAAAACAGTTTTTAGCAAGAACCTTCGTCATAAACATAATCTGTCCTCTAATTTTTATAACTGTAATTCAGGTGGTACTTGTATAAACTTCACCCATATATCTAATATAGTACCCTGCCTACCATTTTGTAATTGATATAGATTGTTTGAAAACCAATGACTACCATAATAAAAGTTTTTATTGCTTACCGGTCATGACTTTACATGATTATAATTAAAAAGATGATTGACATATTTCTAAAAACCTTCACAAGCTACTAAAATACTATTTACAAATCTTCTGGATTCCTCCTGCGTCGGTTATCGGTGAATCGAACTTCCTGATTTCTTCGTAGCTTAACTGAAACTGATTTGCATTTTATTCTGCCCATGCTTAAGTACTGTTTGAGGAGGGCGGAGCTAAAGGAGGGGCATTAACTTTGTCTCGGATGACTGACCCCCATATTAGAGAAATGTGATTGTTGGCGCCCGCAGATAATTTTCTCAATTGATTTTAAAATTAATTTCGTACAAAAATTTCCACAATTTCTTCTTACCAATGGATGGAATGATATCATCCCTTTATTTTATCCAAGGTACTTGTTTTTTTTTAGGCAAAACGAGTGTATTATTCTTTTCATTATTATTTATTACAGTTTCTTTTCTTTATGTCTCTTTCGTAACCTAGCGCCCCGTTTATAGTTTTGGTTAGTTTAGTACAGAAGTCGGTCATGTCATTTGCAAACACATTTTTGGCACTCCGAATGTGGAGTTTTGGTGGCGAGGAGCTTTGAGCACATTGACATTAATAATTTTCCCATTTTTAGAAAGGGAAATTTAAGAATCCATTTCTCAGTAACAAATTTAGAAAAGTATCCATAATTTTTATTTCAAACACTAAACGACAGGTAAGTTAGCTTCCGTGTACTTATCACTCTCGGAGTTCCTGACGATCATCACAGACGCAAGGCGCTTTCCTTCAATAAACCGAGCAGTAAACTATTTAAATGCCGATTTACAAGCGTTACAGCGTACAGATAGGTATTTTTGTTTGTAGTATTGTTTGTTATGTTTAGACCGTGAGTTGAAATTCCACGATGAGACGGATGAGAGTAAGGAAGCAAAAAAAAACTTTGAATATGTGCAATATGTGTAACTTTACATAATACTTATATTTTTATCGTTATTATCGGGCAATTGCACGTACTGTTTCCATGAATTTAAATTTTAAAAATCTATTTGGAAAGACATCACTACAACATTTCTGAAACTTTAACATAGTATATTAAAAAATCCGCTAATAATTTATATTTTTAAATAGAAAAATTGTCTGCAGGTCTTCTAAAAATGTCAAAGGGCATGGGAGCTGCCATTGGGAAGACCACTGGCAGAACAGTGGAATGTGCTGGTATTCCAAGGTCAACCTTGATAATAAAGGAAGAAACCATGTGAGAAAGGCATAATGAAACTATTTATGCAGAGTGGATTTGCAGGGAAGTGTATGCGATATACGAGATTACTCAGAGACTTAGTGCATCATCCATGATACTATAAAGAAAGGTTGGCAAAAATCTTGATTGAAATGCAGTTTGAATGTAACTGCATCTAGTGGAAGCAGAATATTCATCTTACACTGTGACTCTAGGGGAAAGTTGGGCGCCAAACGCACTTTTCAGGAAAAAATATTAAACACTGCTCATTAAACTACCACCAGGATATGACAATTAAATTCTTCTTCTAATATCGTATAAGGTAGCGTTTGAAATATGATATGATAGTTATCACAGCACTTTGGCTAAAAATGTACTAGCTATCAGCAGCAAAAAAAATATATATTGCAAGAGTTGCTTAGCCAGCATGGCTTTTATTTTAAAGATACTTATACAAACAAACAAGTCGGTAAAGTTTTGGTTTTTACTGGTTGATATCCGGTAATATATCAATTAGATCAAAACCTTATCACTGCGATGTGATGGGCCGAATTAGAAAACAAAGTTAGACGAAATAACAAAAACCCAAAAAATACCCGCCCTTCCAATTTTTTTTTATTAAAATTCACTGTGCATTAATACCAGAAAGCAGTTGGAAATTGTGTGAAGTGGAAAATAATTATAAAAAAACTTACGACAACCTAAAACCATTAATTATATCCTTGGATGATAGTGATGCCACAGATTCAAACTATTCTGACGACTAGTTTTATTTAGTATGTATTTATTATTTATATACTTACAATTATACATTGAGTAATACAACAGAATGTGTTACTAGTACCCTGGATTGGTTTGATTTATTGGCCCAAAAATGCCTACGAGCAGATAAATCGTTAAATAGCATTATTATAGTCATGACTATTTATTGTGTGTCGGATTACTACAATACTACGCCTATGGCATACGGATAAGACCACTTAGTCTCACCGTGCAATTTTGATTTATAACTTTCTTGCATAAAGAAAAAGAGTATAGTGCTTCTTCAAGAAGAGAGAGAACATCATATGTACTTCGGAACTTTTCAACTCCATCAGCTAAATCGATTAAAATACTCCTAAAGTTGGGCCAATAAGAACTTTAGACGGACGCACTGCAAAGTGTAAAACGGGCGCATGGGAACCAAATTAATTCTTTACTATGACGGTCTCCAGAAATTAGTCATAAGTATGAAAAATAGTTCTACGGGTAATACATAAATACCTAAATACATACCATTTATCGCACCCAAGGTGAGATCTGAAATAAGCGGGGCTATGTTTATAACCCGTTCTTCGGGATTTTGCAATATTGTTTTCACCAAACCATCCGCTTCGTTATTGAATATATTAACAAACAGTTTAAGTATGTTAAAATGAAAAGTTGGGGTCAAAATTTTCCTCCTCCGTTGCCACTTCAAACCTTAAAAAGAAAAAAACACAATAATTTTATGATAATTGGACAAGTTGGTTCTATCTTTACTTCCTTTGCATCGTAGGGTGTATTTTATAATAAAATTTCAAGTTATTCGCTTGCTTCTATGCAATTAAATTTACAGAAATAGTAAATAATATTAAATACTTATTCGATTATAATTATGGTAAATAAATGTTGAAAAATATGCCTTTTTACTTCAATACTCATGTTTAGCCTTTTTCGTATATTTTCTTGGACGTCCCTTAGCATAAACCGTTACACTATATTTAACATATCTCCCGAAAAGAAACATAATGGCGTTAAATCACATGATTTTCGTCCCTTTTCCAAGAAGATCTTAATGTTCTTAATGATGAAAACTAATATTAGTACCATGATTATTCCAAATAGAATAACAATTATTTGGTACGTATTTGTTTCTTCGTTCACTGGTTCCATAGGAATTATTCTTTCTGCTAAGTCTCTTAGCTGGAATATTTCGCCGATATTTATTTTTGAAAGACTGGAAGTATCCGGGATTTTCATTGCGTTCATCTCCGTTAACTGGATTTTTGATGAAACGAGGGGTTTTCCGTATTGGATTTTTACATCATCGAAGAATTTTTTTTCATTAATTTCTATTTAACAGTTTACTAGTGTCTTAATCAGCACTGATACTTCGATTTGCATATATCGATCCATGTTACACTTAATTAGTAGTTTTTCAGGCTTCTGGGACAGAACAAGAACTAAATCTTGGGTGATTTGTTCTACAATTATTCCTGACATGGACATTTTCGTAATAGGGCAGTTTTCCATTCCAATGTTGCTAAATAAGTTGTCCACGCGTACTTCGCAGGGGTGGATTTCTTCTTTACAAAAGTAGATTCCTTCAATCACACAATCACATGATGGAAGGGGCTACCCTATGAATCCACCGCTACCGATGCATTTCTGTGGGTAAACATTATTTAAAAATTATCGAACTTCTCAATGGTAATGCGGAGCAGCTCGATCTTGCTGAAATCACATTTGTTGGATCTTAATGTTGTCAACTTCTTGAAGAAGTTGATATAAATCATTCTGATAAAAGTTTAAACATCTAGGCCTGTTACGTGGTTCTCGAAAAAAGTACGGCCTAATAACATTAACGTGTTTTATTCCACACTACACATTAAGTGACCAATGGTTTTAGTTTTGTACTTGCTATACCCCTAGAATGAATTAACTGTTGAGTAATATGATAACTAACTGCACCATTATTGCGAAACGTAGCTTCATTGAGAAACATTATTTAAAAAAAAGTTGGATCCGTGAAGTAGCTTTCAAAATCACGGTCTAGAGGTTGTTACCGCCGCGCAAGTTTTCGTCGTGGAAAACGAATTTGATTTTTTAAAAACCTTTATTCAAGCGAGATGACAAAAAAGCTAGCGATGTGGTTCGCACCGTGGTTTTATATAGACAAATTGCTGATACTTTAAGAAACAAGTAATATAATATGTATGGGAACCTTTACTCAGCAGTTTACAATATCAAAGCGTTAATAATTCCTCCGCCCTTAGATAAAAGCACGGGTACAACAAGTGCTTTTAAATAACAATATTTTCTTTTTGTTTATTAATTTTGGATTTAAATGGAATATATTTATATTTGATATATTATTTTAATATTTAATTTTTATTTCTTGAAGTTTAATTTTAATTGGTTTACAGTTTGTTATATTAGTCTTGTGAGTTATTATTTCTATTGAACAATTCGGGTGTTCCTTCATATAGGTAATATGTATATTTTTACACATGAACTCATTTTTTAATAGTTTTACACATTCAGAGTCCATAAATGAGTACATATTTCCGCTCAATGCAAGACATGGTTTAATCGGTATATTAACGTAATATTGCAGTTCTTGTTCACTATTAACTGGTAGCGGATACAACTGGTAATATTGATAAATTTCTGATTCTAGTAGCGGTAGTTCCAAAATAAATGTTATTATTAGTCCTCTAGAGTAGCTTTTTATTTCTATAATTTTTTCAAAATTTAATATATTTTCGATAGATGTCTCGAACGGCAGTTGATTTTCCTTTAATTCTTTTTTCATGTTTTTAATTTCTTCGAATAGATCAGACGGATCAATTATCGAATTATGTAAAGTGTTTAATTTGGCAAAACTAATTGCGGTTTCAATTTTCTCAAAAATGTTATATATTAAATTATACATAAAGGTAATTTGATTCATTACTACGTGTATTTGGAAATACTCATAGTCATTCGTTTGTTCAATGGTTATCTTTTTAATTACTTGATCAATTTGTAATATTTTAGATTTAAGGATAAGTTGGTTATGAGAAATATTTGATATCGAATTTTTAAATGAGTTGATTGTTTTTTCTAACAGTTTTATTTGATTAATTGAATTGGTTCTTAAATTATTTTGGTTTTCTTGCAGTTGTTTGATTTCTACATCGTATTTTTCCGCGTCGGATTGGTCTAAGTTTCCAGTAATACATTTAATAATAGAACCGATTGGGTTTAATAGGCCTCTTTTATTTCTTATAGATAATGGATTGAGTTGACTAATTTTATTTTCAATGCGTTTTTCTAATGTTAGGGATGACTGAAATAGAATATTCGTGAAAGTAATTAGTATTATTTTTAATCTGACTAATTAATATTTTTACTTGGTTATAGATTACATAGAATTCAGCAACAGCTGGGTTTAAATCAAAAATTTGTATAAAGGAGAAATGGTTAGAGGTTATTTTTGCGGTACCTAGTTTATAAGGAAGGATTCCTGGATAGTTGTTCAGGTTGTGGATTTTTACTTCGTTTGCTCCGATGTTTGCGAGCCATCTGGAACAATGTTAATTATTTTAGTTTCGTTGACGTGAGTTATTTCTTTTTTATTTGTTTTTGGGTTTTCTATTTCAATTTTATTATTATCTAGGATTTTTGTTAATATGAATGGTCCAGAAAATTTTTTGTTTAATTTACCTTTTCGACTTTCGGTGCGCTTATACACTGTTGCGCCAATTTTTAGTTCTACTGGAGTTTTGTTTTTGTTAATTTTATCGACCGTTTTTTGTTTTTTTAAAAGGGAATCATTATGTACCTTTTCGTAAAGAAGCTTAGTATTTGTTTGATGGTTATTTACGTATTCACAATATATTTGAGAAGGAATTAGGTTCATAGGGTCACGTGTATCAGTGTGTCCTAGTGTTAATTCAAAAGGCGTAAAATTAGTATTTGAGTGTATAGTACTGTTATATGCAATGATCGCATAGGGCATAAGTGAAATAATATCGGAATTTTTATCTATTTCCTTCAATAGGCGTAAGTGTTCGATGAGGGTTGAGTGAAAACGTTCGATAGGTGAATTGGATTCGTGGTGACTCGGCGTTGTGAAATGGATTTTAATTTTATGTATTTTTAATAAAGGGTCTAGAACGTCATTTTTAAATTCTGTTCCATTGTCAGAAACAATTTGTTTTGGTATTCCATAGAATGAAAAGAAATGTACTAATTGTTGGCATGCTGAAATCGCAGTTCCAAAATAGGGCAATGCCTGTCCAAACTTAGAGAATTTGTCAATTATAGTTAAGAATTTTTGTCCGCCGGCAATAAAGGTATCGACGTGTATAATTTCAAATGGTTTTCGTTGCTATTTTGCTCGCTGGCAAATTTCACATTCGTTAATATATTTTGTAACATCTGACTTTAAGGATTTCCAGTAATAATTATTTTTTAAAAATTTACAAGTTTCTTCTATGCCTCTGTGATTAGTTTTACCTTCATGTTTATATTTAATTAATATATTTCGTTCTTCCGGTTCAACATTATTTATTAATTTTGTGCATTCGATTAGTTTATAATTTTGAAAATGTTGGGCGACTACTTTTTGTACAATTGGTCTTAGTTGTTGAGATAAAAAGTGAATATACGTCTTTTTGTTATTTAAATGTTCTTTGAAGAATTTTGTTAAACTAATTTCTTCTTCTGGAATTGTTGCATGTAATATATTATGACCGTCGAAGTTTTTAAAGTTACATTTAACATAAGTAGAATACGGAGATTTCTGAAGTATTATCTGATTTGGTTTGTTGTAAATAATTTCATTTAATATAGGTATTCCTTGTAAAGATTCGTCAGTATTTGTACTATGTATTGTATTTTCAAAAGCTGGTCTTAAAAGTTTGTTTTCGAGAATGATTATTTTTGGGCTCCTAGGACTTTTATTTTCTATTTCTTCGAGTGTTTTCGAAATTTCATTTGAGTCTAATTTATTCGGATCGAAATCGTTGTCTAGAAATTTGTTAATATCAAGATCAATATCTCCAGGATTATTATAAATAGAGTCGGTTTCTAAAGCATTTAATTTTATTCGTGACAAGGCGTCCGCATTTGTGTTTTGTTTACCATTTTTATAAAGAATTTCGTAATCAAATTCTTCTAGTTTAAGTCTCCATCTCATAAGTTTTGAATTTGGTTCTTTTAGGTTAAATAACCAGACTAATGGTCTGTGGTCCGTAAAAATTTGGAATTTTCTACCGAAAAGATACGGTCTAAAATATTTACAGGCCCATACTATGGCAAGTAATTCTTTTTCCGTTGTAGAGTATTTTTGCTCAGTGTCATTAAGTGTCCGAGACGCGTATGCGACTGGGTTATCGTTTGGTGGTGTGCCTTGTGATAATACGGCACCTAACGCGTAATTGATGCGTCTGTAGTTAACACGAATTGTTTTTAAAAATCTGGATATTTTAATATTGGGGCATTTATTAGTAATTGTTTTAAATGGTTGAAAGCTGTAATAAATTCGGGGCTGTGTTCTACTTTAGATTTTTTCCTTAGACATAAGGTCATTGGTTTTGTGATTTTAGCAAAATCTTTAATGAATCTTCTGTAGTATCCTGCCAATCCTAGAAATGACTTAATTTCTTTTTGTGTTTGGGGGAGAGGAAAATTTTTTACTACTTTTATCTTGTCAAGATTTGGACTAACGCCTT